GGAAGAGAAGGAAAGGGCCGGAGATGGCGCCTCTGAGTTCGGGCTGGAGGGGCTAGCTGAGAGGGTCAGGGAACCACTGTGTCAAGAGAGGGATGGCTAAGAGTCTGAAGGAGGAAAAGAAAGTGCAGAATCCAGCGTGAGTAAATGCGGAACACAGGAGAGATGTGAGAGGCCAGAGGAGGCTGAGGTGGTTGATTTCGTGGCATGCTGACAACACTGAAGTCAGCCCTGTCAGTACAAGGCGTGGGGAGTCATGAAAGGTTAGACAGGAGCCCAGAGAAGCAACGACTGCCTCCCAAAGGGCGGATCTGAAAAGGTAGGGTGTTTAGGTCTGAACTGGGAAGGCAGATGGATTCAGGACAGCACACAGGACCACGAAACTAGCAACGGGGCATGAGGGCAGGTCAGAGAGAGCAGGTGTCAGGAAAAGTCCACTGAGTCTGTTGCCTAATAGCAGGTGGCAGGGGAGGTAGGACGGCATGGTGAAGATGAAGCACAGGGTCTCTTGAAGACAGCAGCTGGAGAAAGGGTAGAGGATGCGCTGTGTCTGGTTCAGTCCACGCCCAGCGTGGAAAGAGTGAGACAGTCGAGTCTGCAGCCACCATGAGGTGGTTTATGGGATGCAACTGGGTCTGGGAGTCACTGTGACGGGAAAGGGACAGGAGACAACGAAAAGTGGAGAGAACCCCATGAATGTGTGAGGCTCAGAGTAGGCAAAGGGGGCGCCATGAACATGGTAGGCAGCCTGAGGAGCTCACCATCTGGGGAAGTCGGCAGATCTCAGGGGGCAAGAACAGTGTCAAGTTCGGTAAGGAGGCCAGATGGTAGGAGCAGAGCAGAACTGAGATGTCACAGCTCAGGCCATGACCGGGGGAACTTCAGGGACAAATGGGGCAAAGGGCTACAATGACGTGGTGAAAGAGATATGGGGCACACTGCACATTAAGATGGACCCAGCAGAAACCAATGGCAGGTAACCTCAGGGACTTCAGGACGGACTCACGCGGATGGACTCACATGCCTAGAAGTGGAGGAGGAGCAGACAGGAACCAGGGCAGAGGTGACATCTCACAACCACCACAGGATCTGTGCTGTGCTCTTCCAGGGAGGCTGGAAAGGGTGGGCTTCTAGCATGTGTCAGAGAGCCTCCAGAGGGCAGCAGAGAAGGATGGGGACCTTCAAACCAGTGTCACTGGTGTAATCTGAGAGTAGAGTGTGGACAGCAAACAGGCTCAGAGGGAGACAGCTGGGAGTGGGGTGGCAGGGTTCTGGGGGCTCTTGCTCTGGAGGCTGTATCCAGTGGACAAAAAGGGGCAATGCAGAGTGGGCAGGAGAGAGAGGAGGGTCTTGGAATGTGCAGGGGAGTGTGTGAGGGCAGCGTGCCTAAGAGGGAAGGAGGGCAAAGGGAGGATCTGGACAGTGTCAGTGGGGTGGCAAGGGTCACGGTCATGGGTACATCAAGGGGCCTGATGGAGGAGAGATGGAAGCAGTGGAGGCAAGGAAAGAAAGATGGGAAGGAAGTGATGGGACTGGGTGCGTTCTGTGGGAAATTTCTTGATTGAAAGGGAAGAGCAAGGAAGGTGTGATTGGGTGAGGCTAAAGAACAGCTGACACAAAGGGAAGGCAGTGCTGGGAACCACGGAAAGGGCCTGGTGAGTGACAGCTGACGGTCTAGCAAGGGGCAGGAAGGGTGTGAGCAGTGAGAGCAAGTCATGGGAGGGAGCACACGCTCATGGAGCTGGGATGACTGAATGCAGGTAAATGACAGGCATTAGGGAGCTCTGAGATGAGATGCATGGACCCTAGAAAAGAGGCAGGGTTTCCTTGAGTGAGGAGGGAAAGGCAAGTGTGAGTCAAGTCAGGCAAGATGGCAGGAAGGACTGTCTAGAAGGGACCTCGATACAGTGTAAGGGGAGGGTCAACTCGCAGAGGCTGACATGGTGATGGGAGCACCCAGGTGAGGATGCAGAGAGGAACACGGAGGAAGGGAGACAGGCTGGACACCAACAGGGGGAGCAGGGCGAAGAGGGAGGTGGCAGAGGAGGCATCCTGGAAGATCTCAGAGGAGGCAACCACAAGGAAGTTCAGAGCATCAGGGACAGCCAACACAAGTGGTAGTGTGGGGAAGGAGGAATGGAGAGCGGTGGCCAGTAGTTGGTGGGAAGCAGTGGCTGCTCCTACGGCCTTGAACTTTGTGGCAAGGGTAAAACATTTTTGGCCAGGCTCTTTACTACGGATCCGGCGGGGTGGGAGGTGGGGAAGGGGAGGGA